AAAATTTCAGTTGACATCGAGCGGTGACAGAATCATGTCTATCACTAGCAGTTCTGACGAAATGTCGTCATTATAGTGGCCGCATTATTGAATGTCACAAAAAAGAAGGATGTGGGTCCATCCCATCAATCGAAAGAGGGTAAATCTGGGAGAGTTTTATATTTTCAACGACCTGAAAGAAGACGAGAAGAAATGTTTCCAGTATTTCCGAATGACTGCAGGCAATATTTTCAGAACTTCTGGATATTGTAGAGCCTGCCTTAACAAGTAACTCAATTTTTCCTCGTCCATTTTTATAGGTACCGTCTGACACCGTGCTGTCAACTGATGGAATAGCAAAGCAGAGAGATATAAACTTCCCAGGCACGTTTGGACAAGTTGATGCTTGCAAGCGCTGGCCGGCAACGCGCTAACTTGGCTAGTCAGTCACAGCACGTACCGTTATTTGCCGGACAGAATCGAAGACCTGGAATCCTTTCCGGCGGGGGACGCTCTTGGCTGTGCCGTACCGGGCTAGTGGGCGATTGTCCATTCATTTTCATTGTTCCAATCCTATACGTATTTTGACGTAACGGGCCGTGCTGTGCCGGAGAAATGGGCGACGAGCTTCAAAGAAGTCGCATGAACATCACTCAGGAATTGTTGAATGACATCAACGACGATCCAGACTCGCTCGAAAGGTTTATACTGGTGACAAATCGTAGGTATATGATTATTATATCGATCCATGAATCGTTTCAATGTGAGCGCCCAGAAAAACCAAGGCCTGAAGTTATGCGCCGAAGCGATATGAAGAAAATTGTGGTATTGTGGAAGAACAATACATGGCTTTTGAATCACAATAATGCACATACTCACTCGTCATTGCTTGTTCGTCATTTTTTTGCCAAAAACAACACCGTAATCATGCCTCAGCCACCGTACTCACCAGACTTGCCCCCCTTCGACTTTTTCCTGTTCCTTAGATTGAAGCGACTGATGAAAGGACGGCGGGTTGCAACAATTGAAAAAAATCGCTGGGAGAGTTCAAGCACATACCAACAAGTACATATCAGAACTGTTTCGAGGATTGGAAATAACGCTCATATCTGAGGGGAAATTGATGAATAATTTTTGAGAAAAATTAAAATTCACCCCAGTTTTGAACAGACATCGTATTATTATATGCTCTGGTAAAATCATAACAAAAGACTCGTATTTTTACGTGTAACTGAAATATCCATCTATTTCAAAGAATTACGTGAATTTTAACGACATATTGATAATAAATTCTGAAGCATAAACAAGGAAATTGTTTGTACAGTAACAACTAATGCGAGGACTGTTCTACTCGCCCTTTTTCTGAGAGTTCGAAATACACTTCCGTTGTTATTATCAAATTTAGCAACATCACCTCTATTTGTCAAGTATTCATGATGAAACGATTGAAATTCATGTACCCGACCGGAAAAGGCAATAATGATTAGTGATTACCACATCATCAAATATAATTTCGCAAATAACTGCATATTGTATTCGGATATTTGCATAATTCATTCGGAATGAATTCATTTGTCATTCTGCTGCAATATGACATATCATGGGATGAATTATTCAGCTGATAGAATCTAAAGGCTCCGAGAAATTATTTTGTTGGTAAAGTTATCATATTCACTGTTATTTAAAACTATATAACAACTTTGTGAATTGTCATTCTTTCAACTTCATTTCGTAACTCATGACTGTTTCCATTAGGTATTCTAAGAATATTTACATATCGTGTGAAAATATGACCAGTATATCGAATAACATTTCATAATCATTAATATTCATAAAATAAATAGAGAGAATCACAAAGCATGAACTTATTGAAAGTTTGGTATAATAAATTTACATGAAAAGTAAAAATATTTATGAATTCTAGATGAAAATAATACCAATGAATTTTAGTGGAACATTTCGGAAAGACAATAAACTGAAAATACGGTTTGTTTTCAGTTCTAATTTGTTCGGTTGAAAATCAGCAATTTTCATTCGTTTATCTTGAATGTAAATTGTTTGGAGAAGAAATAAGTCTGTGTTTGCTTTTAACAAAATTTTTATATTTTCCAAAAAAATGGAAAGTGATGAAATGGGTATAATTCGGTGCCTACAAAATCTAGAAATCTGTATGAAATATATCACAGAAAATGTATGGATTACCGCAAGAACAAGAAGATCAAACAATAATTTTCAGAAAACATTTTACTGGCATATTTTGCAGGATTAGCCAAGAATGTTAAATATTCGACTTCATGGTCTACATATTCTTTGTTGAAGATTACATTGCATATCAACATAACTATAGATATATCCAAATATTTCAAACTGCGGGCCTTTTTGAAGCCCCAATCAGATGGTTACTTGACGGTCAGCTGATCTGTAATGCCAAACTTTGCACGGCTTAGATCGTTCCCCAACATTTATCCGTAATTCACTCAACACTGAAATTAGTTTGTGGTCAGAAGATCCTAATGGAGACCTTACGGTGACTGTATTAATTTCTGGATTGGTTGTTAGGCATAGATCCAGAAGACTAGCATATTCTCCATCACGGTCAGGAATCCTGGTTAGCTCATTTATAATCTGAGTAGGTCCACTGCTTATTGCAAAAGATTGAGCTTCACGACCTTGTTCGTCGTTGATATTTGAAAATTTGACCCATTCGATATTGTGGACGTTGAAGTCACCGAATATGGAAATTTCGGCACTGGGATGATTGATTTGCAGAAAGTCAATGGTATTTGCAAGTGGAGAGAATAGTGCCCTATATTGTATATCGCTAGGTGGTCGATAAACCCAACACATGAATTTGGTGATCTTCTGTGATATTATTTTGAACGACATAACATCAAAGTTTCGGGGTTGCAGCGTTTCCTCTCGTTGACAGGAGAGATCGCTCCTGATAAAAGGAGATATTCCAAAGTTACTTCTGAATCAGGAGTGGAAATTATAGCCGGGATATAGAAAATTGACGGGGTTTGTTGAAGCACTGACTTTGTTTTCTGTGAGTGCAAGAATATGAGGATTATTTGATTGCAGATGTTGGTGCACTGAGTTCATAATTCAGTTCAGTCCTCTGATGTTGCAGAAATCGATTTTGAAGTTCCTAGTGGGCCTCTTACCAACTGCACTTGCCATGCTATTTCCCTTTTGATTGATAATGCTGCTGACTGTCAGAAATAGTGGTTTTCGAATAACTTCTGCAGGATGATGCCCTTGGATCAGCCCCCACTCGGAGATCCGATCGGGGAGCTATTTTACCTCCGGAGTATTATGAACGCCATAACGCTTTTTTCTTTATATCTCTACCCTTGACACCGAAAACAGCGGCTCAGCAACGAAACGTTAGCCAGAAAGCAACTTCACGCTACCTAAGCCGTTGCGATGGTATCTCACCGGACGATTCCGGATGGGACCAGCATCTACCATCTTCACCAGCATCTGCCATCTTGTCCTCGGCTACGCCTCGGATTATAACATCCGAATCCGTTATTTGCGTATTGGCCGTGTGTCGTTCAAGACTTTTCGTAATCCCGCTGAAAGATTCCGAGGAAAGAACAAACCACGTACCTCGTAATTCTACTGAAAAATACCAACATCGTGTTTTCATGTTGGAGGTAGTTGATCATACATGGTTGCCTTGAAAAGGTTGTAGCAATGTGTGGTATTTTCGGCGCCTGTAGACGTGACAAACTTGTTAAGCTGACTGTTTTGGTTACATTGACATATACTAAAACCAAAACACCATTCCCAAAAAAGAAGTTTCTCTTGATGTCTATGGCTTATACAAAAAATACGTAGATTTGTGGCCTTCAAATTTGGAAAATTGGCGATTCTTCGTTGGTTATAGGAATGGTAAATGTGTAAAACAAGTTGGAGGCATTCATACTATAGGATCTGTTTCAAAAACAATTTCGCAGATCCTCGGCTACTATGCTTGTAGAAAATGGAGGAGATATAGGTACTATCGGTAAAAGAACTTGGAGGTTGGAACTCCTCTGTGGTGGCGGAATCATATATTGAAAATTCAGTTTCAAAGAGAATGAAGATAACGAGATAACTATTTCATAGTAATAAGGCTACACCGATAACAGGTTCAAATACTGGTGCTATAGATGGTAAATCTCTCACTGATGGAGTAGGAATTTCAAATAATAGCAATTGTCAAATTACTTTTCTAATCATAATTAGTTAGTATAATTATAATCATATTCTTTTTGGTACAGTTGTAGGTTAAAGTAGGAAACGAAGCCTTCTGCTCCACTTAGTTTCAGCATTATCAAAGAGACGTGAAATTTTCCTGTTAGAATTGATGAAAGAAGCATCATCCGCAAATAAAAAAAAATTTGGCATATCTTGGCATCATATAAATAAGTTTTTGAAGAAGATGATGAACAACATTGGTCGTAGAACAGAACCCTTGGGTACTCCATACTTTATGATTGTCGGATCTAATTCATAACTCTTGTTCAGATAGACAAACCGTTGTCTACCCACTAGATACGACCGAAACAATTTCAAAGACGTACCAGTAATAAAATGAAATGAAAGTTCCTTCAACAAAAGTTTATGAGACCCACGTAGTCAAAAATCTCAAAGGGAGCTTTTGTTGTAGATTTTTGCTACGAAAGCCGGATTGTGCTGAATACAATAGTTCAAGTCCCTCAAAATGTCCAGGAAGTCAACGATTTCGGAAAAAATATCAGTTATTGAGAGTGACCTATAGTTGTCAATCTCTTCAAATTGGCTTTTTTATGTGGGGGTAAAATATGAGATATTTTGAATGTGTTTGGAAATATCAACAAACATCTATTTTGTGCTCTCGTGACACACATTAAATTTTATTTATGAAACTTATCAATATGTCTCATCTTTAATATTGAGTCTTGAATTATCGTGGAAACAACCAATGTAGAAATTTATACCAAAAATCTCCGTAACTTGTATTTTCGATTATCACACATTTCCGTTATTTTCAGGAAAGGGGTGTCTTTATCCGGCGTACAGCCTCAGCGGATCAGAAGGTGAAGATTCACCGAGGAGATACAACTTCCAGCACACTTATCAGCATCCCTTGTATCAACAGCCAGCTGGATTGAGCGACACTCCAACGTCGGAAAACGCTTCAGACGCCACGTTAACCGATTCCGAACTAGCCCTTGCCAGGGATTCCACCCTGCTCGTACATAACGGTGAGTACGAGAGTTACTTTTACTACTTTCTCGAATTTATGACTCGACCGATGAAGTTTCTGAGTTCTTGTTATATATTAGGTTAGCGAGTTATAAACGAGGCTAGTTTTGGTTTATGGGGCTGATGAATTTGCTGGGGTTTTTATCGAATTTACGTTCGACTGGAGTAATTTGTCTTGCTGAATCCAACTCCATCAAGGCGTGAAAATCGATGAAAGTTAAAACATAGATGGTCGAGAAATAGAATTGTCGGATTTGATTGTCTCAGAAGCTACTTCACATTAATTTCTCATGAAGATATTGTGCAAAGCTAGTTCAGTCATTTTATCGGATTCCAAATATATCCTTTTTTCCCCTAATAACTACAAAAGACATGTCAATAAAAATTTACTCATTTTGAAATTATATAAACCTTAGAGTACTTCTTCAGTAATGAAAGTGGTATTGTTTTCATTTGGATCGAGGGTCACTCGAGAAGCCACCTCTGTAGAATTGATAACTGATAGCTCCCCTCAAGACATAATCTCAGACGTTAGATATGAAATACGACTAAATTGGTGAAGACTATGTATTAGTTTAAAAATATCCTTGAAGAACGAAACTGCTGTAACGTTAGATATAAATGAAAGTGGTAAAAATACATGGAAAAATTCATTTCTCATTTTTCACTGGAAAGAGTAAACATCTTTATCAAAAAATTATACACTAACTTACCTCACTCTTCCTAAAAGTATTCCTCACAACTTCAACTCATCAAGATTCTACGCCACTTGCATTACATAAATGAAAATGAACCATGGTAAGTTTCCTGCATATTTGACAAATCAATTATGGTCTGTAACAATTTTTCTTCAGCAGATATAAATCACATGCTATTCACATGTCCCAATTTCGAACCGTACCGGCCCGATTTCTTAGATATATACGCGCCAACTAAGATGAGTCAGCGCAGAAACATAAAATCGTTTTGTGTTAAAAGACTCTGCCCACCTAAGACATACTCCGCCAATGTTCTATTGACATCAGTTTGTGTGACCAATAGGGTACAATTTGGTTTTAAATGCACATCCAAATCTCATCTAAGTTGGCGCGTACTATAATTTGCTTTCCTCGCATATTTCATTCTCAACCAATATAACAGTGTTTTAGGTACACTCAATGAAAAAATATACAATATAATTCTAAAATTCAATAATCAAATCTAAAATATCAGTATTAAATATAGTAACTCGATTCTCTTCAAAATTTCTGTGGCAAAATAAACTCCAGTTTGATGCCAAGGGGGAAGCGGGGTAATGAAAAAATTATTTATTGACATTATCAAAAACTCATAACCTCAATTAATCAACAACTTTAAATATTCATTACATTTGTAGTGTTCTTACACACAACCGTATAAAAGTGCAGACAACTCATAACGGATATTGATTCTCAATAAAATTTCACAAGTATATTTCACTAGGAACTAGTGATATTTGGGCCAAGTGTTTATTTTAATGAGTTTCAATCACAGCCACAAAAGTGTTTTGTCAACTAGATGGTAAAACATCAATGCAGGGTGGTGTGGTCAGGTCATTGATATATAATGGACAAAATTACGATCCTAATGCCGAATCTTGGGTATTTATGTTTCTGTATTTTGTATTTCCTTTTAATTTTCTAGGTTTTGAAGCATTTTTCAAAAAGATGTAGATATTCTACTCTGATATTCTACTTTCAAGCTGAACTTTTGGCATGATCTCTTCAAATGTGCTACAGAAGTAATCAGTTGTGTCCAAACCATAGGAAGTCCAAGTTGTACAAAGCATAGAAAGTCAATAGAAAGTCAAAAATAACAATTCAATAATATATAACTATCCGGAGTTGAATTGATTTTTGTTCATATCGTTTGCTAGAATAGCATTTGGCACTGTGACAATTTTTAAGAGAAGGCATTTTAACTCACCTAGAAATATATCAACGTTTCAAACTGAAGTCCCATTTGTGCTTATTCTAGAAAGTGTTTTTTGTTTTTTATTATGGAAAATTTTAATGAAATACATACTGTCTAAAATTTATGAATGAATATAGCCATGGCATCTCAAATAATATTTTTGCTGATCATCGAAATAACTATATATTAGGTTGTTTCCAAAGTTTTGTCCTTTTCAATGGCATCTGTTTTTGTAGCTCCATATCTCAATAAATACTTATTCTACTGTGTCGGGGCATAAGCTTATCGATAGCGAATTTTGTACTCTTTACATTAATGTTAATTTTTTTCCAAATTTCAATTTTTTGCATCGTTCCAGCTCATTACAATTTGATGTTGTTAGGCGATTTTAGTCCAATTTTTCTTTTCCAATTCAATTCGAACCGAAATGCTGCCGAAATAATCCGCAAAATTAACCAGGCATTTGGCAATAATATTCAACGTTGCTTTGCGAAATTTCGTTCCGGAGAATTCAGCCTCAAAAATAACCCCCCAAATTGGTCGACCTTCAGTAATCCAGGACGAGGGTTTGACGACCCTGGTAGGGAATGCGTGGGATGACGGGAGAACTGGTCGTTTCGGGATATGTTCTTTGCTTTTGCGCAACCAAAACACTCATTTTCTCTATTGAATCGTCACGATTGATGGAAAGTGGATACTCCACGATAACAGGAGTCGTTCAGGACAGTGGTTCGAGACCGATGAGCCACCCAGCAAAAAAAGACCATGTTTACTGTAGTCAGCGGCCGATAGGATTCACTATAACTTTCTGTCTCACCCACCATACCCATCAGTCTTCCATCCTTTCAAGTAGTTTGACAACCTTCTACCGGTAGAACCTTAGCCAATTAGGACCAGGAAAAACGGCCTTCGTCGAATTCATCGAATCTCAACTACACAATTTGCATTCTAACGCAATAATTCGACTTGTGTTACATTGGTAAAAATGCATTGATCCAAATGGCGATAATTTCGATTGAATTGAATATTACAGTTCAAAGTAGACTAATGAAATCGGACAAAACTTTTGAAACAACCTAATAGTTTAGAATAGTCAGCGGTTCACTAACCTCAATCCAGTACTTGGTCAAGAAAACATTTCAACTAGTAATGTACCTATTATAAGTTCAAGCACAGAATAATATTTTTCGTTATAAGCCCTTTAGGTGACTCATTACAATACAACTTGTTTTATGGGAATATAAACGAGTACTATAATAACACTCAACGGATATGTATCATATGATATTTCATTACATGCTGTTTTTATAATATTCCATGAATAAATTACATCACAAATTTTATTTGTCAGTTCAAAATAATAGTATGAATTTTAGTGAGGAATATATATATATAAAAAATATTAATTGAGGATTATTCCAGTAGTTTTATAATATTTTTCATTCAATCGAGCTGGTAGAAATATTCGTTTCATAAGAAAAAAACCTACAGGTTTATTTTCAGTATTTTAATATTAAGATTTGTTTACAAACAGGATTTGAAACTTCAATAGCTTGAACTTATTATATGCGAGCGCTTTCTATAACAGGCTGTACTATCATCTTCATGACTCAAACGGAACGTTTTATCTTCTTATTTGTTCTTTCATACGGTTAGAATGCCTTAGTGCAGGTATTTGTTCTCTCCTGTCTTCCGGATGTCTCTTTGAATTTGCCTGTATTTGGGACATGAGGTAACATCCTTTGTGTCGGAGTTTCTCTAGTTTCATTGTTTCTAGGATTGTGTATTGTATTGAGTTTATGAATGTTAGGTCTTGCTGTGTTTTGATTTATGTTTGTTTCTCGCTAAGTCAATTATGACTTTGAATTTATGGATGTTTAGGTTTTCCCAGATGTCCATATGGTTTTCTTTATTGACTTGTTTTATGAGTTTGATGTTTTCTGGTGAGAGAAAGTTATGTTCGTTTTGTGTGACTTGTGTTGCGAGGTTTGATTTATATGTCATTGGGTGTATGTATGTTTTTTTGTGCTCGTCGTAACTTTGGATCAGTTTTATCTTGGTTTCGTTGATATAGAATTTCTTTCTTATTAGTCAATGGGCTATGCTTGAAGACTGGCAGTAAACAAATCTAAAGCAAATGGAACTTCAAACGTTCAATCCAGTCTCTATATACCTAAATGGTAGGTTTAATTGACTGACACCTATAAGAAAACAACTACTCCCCTGGCTACCACGAAGAGCGACCTTCAATTATTATTTATGCAAGTGTACCCATTCCATAATTGAAGGTCGACTCTTTCAGTTGTATTGCCAATTGCATATGCAGGACATTTTCTGTGAAGATTCCTGTACTGACGCCTGTCGGATATAATCCAACGCCCTTCGTGGTATTAGCCAGGGGAGTAGTTGTTTTCTGATAGGTGTCAGTCCATTAAACCTACTGTGTAGGTATATTGAGACTGCCTTGAACGTTTGAAGTTCCATTTGCTTTAGAAATAGAATTTTTTGCAGTCCGAGCATTGTATGATGTATACTCTGTTTAGGTTTTAATCTTCTTCTTTTTCACACCGGTTCATTTTTTGTGTTATTTTCATTTTCGGCTTGTAAGTGATGTTGATGTTCAAGGGTTTGTTGATTTTTTGGTTTGGTGACCTATGTATGTGAATGCAGTCAATCGTTGTGTTGTTTTATCTGTTGGAGTAATTTGATTCTTGTCCTTTATTTTTTGTTTGATTCTATTTTCTAATTTATCTATTGTCTTCTGGGTGTATCCATTCTCATCACTCAATTTTCTCAAGATTATCAGAACATGAAGGTAAACTTATCTTGAAGCAACAATAATTATAAGGATTCAACTCAAGTTGTTTTCCGTTCGTGAAATCTTGAGATTAGAACGTCAAATCTGTTCATCTGTTTCAAGGATCTGTGGTTGTGCAAACATCTACTACCTGAATTAAAACCTGTCAAGACTTCATGATGAGAAAAGTTTCAACGAATGAAACGGCCGAAGTCTAATCGTCCAAACGAACGAACCCTTTTCAAGAATATTGCTTCACCTAATTGAGAG